AAGTACATGCATACATAGTTGTCTCTCCCACTAGCCTGTGAGCACCCTGAGGCCAGAAATCATCTCTTCTGTTTGTATTCTAAGCTCCACATGCAATGCCCTGCACAAGAGAAGTACTCAGTAAGCACTATTGAATAAACAAATGCCTCTCTACCAATTAAGGATCTGTAGGCATTGAATTCTTATTCTTGTGGAATATTTTATTTTTTATTAAAAATAGATATTTTACTTTTATTTCAAGAAGGTTTTCTTATCCTCAAACCTAAAAAATTCTTGACCCAAAATTAATCCAGCCTGCTGCTTCCCTGTCCTGTTTTTTTCACCCAAAATTGCTAATTGACTTTTCTTTCTTGTTTGAAGAGGAGTCAATAGCAAAACCATTAGCCTGTGGTTTAATGAAAAGAGCCTCTAGGCTTACTTAATTTAAATTTCAAAAGGTCATGGCTGCAGATGGGTGAAGGGCCAAGATTTTAGCTGATATCAGTTTATGGGGGCAGGGTTCAATCAAATCATGTTAGGGTTAGACAATGGTTGATCTACTGTTCTCCTCCCTCCTTTTTCTGTATAACGTTCAGTGTAGCTAGCCTACTTCAAGCCATTGCTTTTTTTTCTTTTCTGAATCAGAAAGGTCTCCCTATATGCATACAGAATAAACCTTAGGTCAATTTCTTTGAGTTTTGAATATTTTTAACATTATTTTCCTTTAGCACGCAAGTATTATTCTCTGATTCCTTCTCATTAGATACTATCCTATCTTTTCTAAGATGTTTATTGAAAATAAAAAAGGGGGGAAGGAGTATGTAGTTTTCATCCCTTACTTTTCAAGTAAGTATATTTTCTCATGATTTTAAGAGAGAAGGGATCACTGCTATGTTGACGACTTTACTTTCTGTCCCCTGACCCAGGGACACTCCATGGATACTCACTGGACAGAGACCCTTGACTGGAGGTGACGATTCTAACCTCAGCTCTTTCTCACTCGGGGCATAGATCTGCAGCGTCTGAGTCAAGTGCTTCCAGAATACTGTGTCGCTTCACTGACCAGGTGTTTCATATTTTGTTAAATGAGTGAAAAGTAAAACCCTTCCACCACGAATATTTAATGAGTTTAAGGGAATGACAGACACAGGAAATTCATTTGTTAAACATTGCAATTTGCAAAGAGTGTCAAGAAGTTAGCCTGAGCTTCCAGATAAAACAAAGATTTGCCTGAGATTGCAAGCAAGTAGGAAATGTCCCCTCCCAAGTATTGTACTGTACCTAGATAATGTCACCATACCAAATAAAAAACCAAACTTATATTACCATAGCGACCCTATAGGATAGAGTAGAACTGCCCCTAGGGTTTCCAAGGTGCTCCTAGTGGACTTAAACTGCTGACTTTTTGATTAACAGCCAAGCTCTTAACTTCTGTGTCACCAGGGTCACACAAATACATGTTTGCATTGGGAAGGCTGCTGATGGAGCAACAATGCTGGGCATCTGTGTAACCTGAGCTTGGACTCTGAATGTCCTCGGCATTCTTGACATTTTGAGACACATAATTCTTCGCTGTGTGGGGCTGTTCTGTGCATTGTAGGAAGTTTAGTGGCATTCCTGGCCTGTGTTCACTAGATGTATGCAGAACCCCTCCACCGAATTATAACAACCAAAGTGTCTCTCCAAACCTGTGTCAAAAGTCCAAGGGAGGCAAAATTGTCCCCTGTGGATGTGTGTTTGCATCTCAGTGACTCCCTAGCTGTCTAACTGAGGTAACTTTCTCAAATTTGAAGCTTCATTTCCTTTTTCTGCACCTTGTGAGTGTAAATTAAGTAGTTGTTATTAGGCCTGAATGAAACAATGCAGTAACATCATTTAGCATGCCCAGTCATGTTATTTGCTATTACTATATCATTATTTCATTTATAATTTTTATTATTATTATTGCCACTGGTATTTCCTCATAACTCTTGCTAGAAGAAAAATATAAAGACCTATGAAGGGAGCCCTGGTGGCTCAGTGGTTAAGAGCCATGGCTGCTTACCAAAAGGTTGGCAGTTAGAATCCACCAGTAACTCCTCGGAAACCTTATGGGGCAGTTCTACACTGTCCTATAAGGTCGTATGAGTCGGAATTGACTCATCAGCAACTTTTTGTTTTAAATGAAGGAAAAAAATTTTCCCAAATTTTCTTCAATGCTTTTGCTGTTTAATATGTGTCCCAGTAATTCTTAGCCACAATATCCTATTGCTGTTTTCCCTAAGCCTACCTATGCTACCTTGCCTCCAATTTCAAATGTTCTTAAAATTTTCAGTTTCATTAAAATGAATTATTGATATCTATTCTCCATCACTATTTTCTCTTAAAACATGTGGCGTGGAAAATTGCAGTCAAATTGCTATTTCTGTCTTAAAATAAAATCATCAGCAAAAAGCATCAACACATAACTCACGAAAGAGAAATTTCGACTAGAAATATGTGGACAGAGACTCAGCTGTATTAGCAAATAAATAAATGTTAAAAAAAAAAACAAAAAAAAACAAAACACCATTTGCCCCTGTTAAAATTATCGAAAGAAATGGCAAAAACATAAAACCTTAGAGATCCACATTGCTTTCAGTTAAATTGATACATGCCTTTGGGAAACCAACTTGCCAACGAGAGTGTGTTCATCCCATTCTGGTCCTGTCAAAGGGACCTGGTCAGGCCTTCCATGGCGACATGTAGAAAACTATGGCTGGTATGTGTACGCCTCTCTGATGCCCCTTGCTCTCTTCGCCTGGGTCCTTAAATGCCTTCCTCTCTTAGCTAGTCTCCATCTGGACTCCTGATTTCTGCTTAGCCTCTTAGACTGATGATCCTTAGGAAAGTGTTATCACAGCTAACCATACCATGTCTCAAAGATAAAATATCCCATATATGCTCTCCTCATTCAAAAATGGGAAGAATTAAAACAAACAAAAACCTACAATCCCTACATCCTACCTCGGATCTTTTGTGGAATGACCCATCTGAGCCCCCCACCCCCACCTTGCTTGCCCTTTGCCAACACACATAAAGCTGGGGAGGGGCCTGGAGGAGAGGAGGGAAGGCGGAGAGAGAAAGGAAACCAAATCATATGCACCCAAGGTCTTCTAAGTGTTTGAACCCTCAGGGCTAGTAATTTCTTTCTCATAATTCCAGTCTTAGTATTTCAATCAAAGGCTGGGGGAGCTCACGAGTGAAAAGCTTGATTTAACATTCTTTATACTAGAAAACAACAGGAAAGAGCCTACATGTCTATGGGAGGGAAATGGCTGAGTAAATAGAGGGGTTGCCCCCTTGTTGATCACTGTGCAATGGTTGCAGATGACTGTATGGAGATCATAAATCGGATAGAAAATGCTACCAATCACAGTTAGATAAAAAATTAGGACACAGAACTGTGTGTGTGCTCTGCCTGCAGCCCTGTGCAACATGTAAGAATCAGTTGCTAAGGAACTGATGTCCCAGATCACTGCAGTTGTTTTAGGCTGGTTTAGGGATTATACTCATTAGAAATCATTAGCAAAAGCATTCTGTTTCTGAAAAGAACAATCCCTGCACACTGCCATGAATAAAAGTTTAACAAAACTTTTCTGGGAAGCGGTTCTGATTTATGAATTCAGCATTAAATCATCTAAGTACATCTGCTATGCACAGTATAATGGTAATTTTTTGGGTAATGATTTCTTAGAATCACAAGTGATGTATAAATTCCCAGTGATTTAAGCATTTGGAGGGGTTTGAATGTGTCCTGGGTGATTGCCTATTCTACTCAAATATGGGTTTGTACAAGGCCTTTGTTCCTTCCTTTTGAGCCTCAGGTTCTAGAAATGCAATCTTATGTGAGAGCAAAGAATTGTTACTCAAGAGGAATAATTCAGCACGCATTAAACAGTTTTATCTTGTCTTTAATTTAGTGTTTTGCAATATATCTCAGAAATGATTAACACTGCTTTATAGAGAATGTAGGAATGAAACACTGCATTAACCTTCAAGTTCTGATGTACTTTTCGCTGTTGTCGCTTGTTAGCTGCTGTCGAGTCAGCCCCTCACTCACGGTGACCTCATGCACACTGGAGCAAAATACTGCCCTGTCCTGTGCTATCCCCATGACAGGTTGTGGATCAGACTGTTGTGATCCATAGTGTTTTCACTGGCTGATTTTCAGAAATACTTTGCCAGGCCATTCTTCCTAGGCCATCTTAGTATGGAAGCTCCGCTGAAACTTCAGCATCATAGTGACACACAAGCCTCCATGGACAGATGGGTGGTAGTTGGGCATGAGGTGCATTGGCCAGGAACGGAACCCAGGGCTCCTACATGGAAGGTGAGGATTCTAGGACCTAGCCTCCAGTGCCACCAAAGTACCTCTAAGGAAATTAGGTAGTGTGGGCCCTGGGACAACATCTCTCACCCTGGGCTCCTCTCATGCCAGTTCCTTGGAGTTGCCTTCTCAGAGTGCCCTGGCTTTATTCCTTCTGTTTGTTCTAGTCTCTTATTGTCAGTGCTCTGACCGTCTGATGAGCCGTTCTTATTCTTCAAACCCCATTCAAGTCTGACTTTGTTGTGATGCAGCTCCACGTCTGCCCTGCCATCTGAGTGGTGTCCCCTTCTCCAGTCCCTGCGGCCAAGCCAGCCTTTTCTGTCCACATACTTCTTCCGGGTCTGGGTCTAATGTCTGCATTTATTGTTGTACCATAAATTCCCGTGGGCAGGGGGCATTGTCTCCCTGGGGTTTGGCTTAGTTTCCAGCACAGAATAAGGCTTCAAGAAGTGTTCATTTAACAAAAAATCGAAGCTTCTATTGTTCCTAGAGATTAATTTATATTATCAACAGTAATTGAGAACTGGGATTTAACTTGTCTACACACATACACACACACACATGTAAAAAATACTGATAAGAATATGCACAAGTTTGATTGCAGGCCCCATCCCCTCTGGCCCCGGAGCATTCAGGTGGGCTGCAGGAGGGGATGTCTAGGCACGTAACTTACGTTTTGCAGCTGGGCATGACTCTTGGCCAAGGTCTCCGACTTCATCATCGTGCTGGACACTTTAAGACTGTAGTTTTTACCATTCTGTGTCTCTTTCAGCTGCTCTTGGATTTGTTTAGTTTGTTTCCTATAGGTTTAAATACATAAATGTATAAATATTTATATAAATTTATTTCTGTTCATATTTTTCTAGGATCATTCATACCCAAAGCCTACATTTGACATCTGCTAAAGCTCAGTAAGCTCAACTAGCAAGGGGAGCCTTTCGCTCACTTTCAACTCAACCAGAAACGATTTTAATTTAGAGAGAACTTGATGTTATCCATCACCATCCAGGGATTCACATTCAATGGCGTGCTCCAAAGGCATAACACATTGCCCTGGTCCCTGTGGACATACAGGCAGTCACTGACACTAAGTGCTAATGTGCATGGAATTAGAAGTGCAGTGGAGAAGTGACTACTGGAAAAGTCTGCAGCCTGGGCCAGTGACCACATGTAACATATTTACAGAGTTACATTTACATGTACACAGTTCAAATACATGTAGGTTAATTGCATGGCTTGCATGTAGACTATGATATGTGTATAAACTCAAAACCAAACCCACTGCCTTCAAGTCGATTCTGACTCATAGCCATCCATAGGACAGAGTAGAACTGCCCCATAGGGTTTCCAAGTCTGTAAATCTTTACCAGAGAAAACTGCCACATCTTCCTCTCCCACACAGCAGCTGGTGGGTTCGAACCATTGACCTTTTGGTTAGCAGTCAAGCGCTGTAATCACTGTGCCACCAGGGCTTCTATGATATAAGTATAGAGACTGCATATTTTCTGTCCTTTGTGGTTTAGGAATAGTTCATTTATTCTTACCAGTAGCCTTGGATGATAATGTTTTATCCCTACCTTGAAAATAATAAACATAGTTAACTCTTAATGAGCACTTGCAATGTGCCAGGGAAAATCTGTTGCAAAAGACCTCTTTAAAGTATTAAAAAGAAAAGGTGTCACTTTGAGGACTAAGGGGTGCCTAACCAAAGCCATAGTATTTTCAGTCGTCTCATATGCATGAGAAAGCAGAACAATGAATATGGAAGACCTATGGAGAATTATGTCTTTGAATTATGGTGTTGGCAAAGAATATTGAATATACCATGCCAGAAGAATAAGCCTATCTATCTTGGAAGAAGTACAGCTACTTAGAAGATAGGATGGCGAGACTTTGTCTCAAGTATTTTGGACATATTATCAGGAGGGACCTGCTGCTGAAGAAGGACATCATGCTTGGTACAGGGTCAGCAAAAGAGAGGAAGACCCTCACTGAGATGGACTGACACAGTGGCTGCAACAATGGGCTCAAACATAGCAACAATTGTGAGGATGGTGCAGGACCATGCAATGTTGTACATGTGGTTGTATGAGTCAGAACTGACTCAATGGCACCTGACAACAACAGCTATGTGCCAAACATCATTGTAAATGCTTACATATATCAAACTCATTTATTATTTACACTAATTCTGTGAAATGAAGCAATAGTGTTCTACCCATTTAATACACGAGAGAACTGAGGCACAGAGAAGTTAGTTTGCCTAGGTCATGTAGCTAGAAAGTGGTAGAACTGGAATTTGAATCCAGCCAGCCTGACTGTACACTCTACACTTTTAACCACCACTCAGAACTGTCGAGCCCATGTTCCCACAGCTTCTGGTTGGGAAGGCTGAGAACTACCCTTGGTGTTTGGGCTTCAGGTAAAGTGCTCCCGTCTGTTTGACTGCTGTTTGGGTCATTCAGTGGCTATTCCAGAAGTATGAATGATGAAGCAACCTACTGCCAGGCTGACTGTTCTCTCCCAGGCTTCACACTAATTATTTATCAGCAGAAGCTTCAGTATAATTTCAGTATAATTTATATTCATCAAAATTCTCATAATCTTTGCATTATCATCCTCTCTGAACATGTGTCTCTTCACCAAGATCTCTATCAAAGATACAGCCATTGGTGGAGGATGTGTGCCATGTCTCAGAAAAGCTGCTTACCCTGAGATTCTCCAGATAAGCAGCAGGGGCTACCTACAGAGCATAGCCCTGAAACCAGAGAGACTGGGGTTTGAATCCTATCTGTGTCTCCTGGCTTCTGCCTCCTGGAAAATCTCCTCTCCCTCCCCAATTCCAGTTTCACAGCTGAATCATGCCCTTCATTTCTAAAGTCTACCAAAGACATCTAAGGCCAGCCTCACCTTCCTTACCTATGAGTTGAAAGTAAAGAGAAAACCTAGAAGTATTTATAGTTGTCATGTGAGCAATATCTGCAAGACTTAAAAGGCTAAATTAATAGTTCTATTACCAACTTCTGGAAACACACGGACTTATTGGCAGTGATGAGAACAATTTTCCCACTGTATCCTTCAGAGTTACTAATGGATTCCATGAACTCAGTCAGAAATTCCTCTAAATTCCAGAAGATGCTTCCTCACTTCAGGCTTATCATTCACTCACCTTCAAACTTTCATCAGATTAACACTTTGCTAAAATATTCATTCTTGGGGGGTCACATCATGCCAAGGGGGACAAGAAAATGGAGAAAGGACCCAAGTGCCGGGGTCTGAGTGATGCTGGGGAGTCGAATATAAATGACCAAGAGAATGTGGGCTTCTGGGTAGGTCCTAACTATTTTGGGGCAGGAACTACACACCCCAGTACACAGGATGAGGTTCAAGTGAATTTTTTTGGGTACCAAAAATAGAGAGGCCCCAGAAGCCTGGAAGAATTGAGGCTTCCAAGCTGAAGTAAAAGAAGTTATATACATATAAACAAAGTACATTACGTGTGAATGTAAGGGGAGGGAGAGATAGAGTCTGCTTAGTTTGTTATCGCCAAGGTTTGGGCAGGGAAACAGGAAACCCAGGAATCAGTAAAAAGAAACAATGCCACGGTGTTACAACATCTAACTGTTTTCAGCAATATGGAGCTACTTGGTATGGGGTGTGGCATTCTTCCCAGAAAAAGAAAAACAAAGGAAAGTTATGCCTGGAAACTATACTGGAAGAAGAACCACACTAAAGCTCTCTGACAAGAAATATGACTCCAGTTGAAATGAGGCTTCAATTTTATTACTCTTTTATTTACATATTTGTTTTTATTTCCTTTGTCCCAGCTGAGCAGGCAGGAAGACAATGACATTGGGGTTAGTGCTCGTCCATTGGCCCAGACACCCCATAACGACCTGATGTTTAACATCCAACACCTGGGAGAGCGCTGGGAGGGGACAGTCATCTCAGAGCCCACTTGCCGCCCTGAGAAGTGAGAGGCTGACTGCTCACAGGACTTACATGCTCAGGTTATCCAGCACTTCGCCATTCCCGTGTTCAAAACAAAAACAACTACAAACTATACTCTAAAAATAAGTGATTAACTACTGCTTCATAGTACTTTGCTTATTATTAAATACGAGATTTCTTTCTCATACACCGCACTTGGGAGGAGAGCTTCCGCACTTGCTGGGTGCGATTATTCCTCTAACGTGTCAGCGTACATGCGTGACTTTGTACATACCCAGCCTCCAAGTCCCCATGTGGAAAATACTGGGTGTTAATGACAGCAAGCCTTTATTGAGTATTTACTCTTGAAACACTATGCTGTGTGCTTAACAATATTATCCCATTCAACCCTTAAAAAATTCTATAATGTACATACTATTTGGGCCATATTTTACCGAAAGGAAACTGAGTCCAAGAGTCACATTGTAACGTTCCTAATAAAACATGACAAACAAGTAGCAGATTGAAGACTCGAATCCAAGTACAGCAAATCCATGAGAAATGTCGGCCAAGATGCATATGGCCTCCCTAGAGAATGGGGAGTATTATGGGCAGCACCAAAGCATGACATTCCCGACTCCCTCTAAACACCGTCGCCACCTAGTGGGAGGACTATGCAAGGCCATACAGTATAGTGGTGAGAGCATGTGATTGAAGCTGGAACTGCTGAGATTCAAAGACCCCTTCTGCAATGTCCTATTAGGTGACTTTAACAAACTAATATTATAAAATAAATTCCAATGTCATCCGAAAAATGCAGCAAGAATGCACAGTTCCAATAGTTGTGAGGACTGTGGACTAATGCATGAAGATCCCAACGTCCCTGGGCTAGTAAGTGTTTAAAAATGAATAGTTACAACTATTGAAGCCAAGAGGACCTAAGGATTGAATAAATAAATAAAATAGAACTAAATACGATATCCTGGTATGGGACCCTGGAACAGAAAAAGGACAGTAGGTAAGAAACAATGAAACTAAGAAATCTGAATAAAGTATGGACTTTAGTTAGTAATACTGTATCAGTACTGCTCCATTATTTGTGACAAACGCACCATACTAATGTAAGATGTTAATAAGAGAGGAACTGGGTGTGGGACATATGGGAACTCTATACTAGTTTTACAATAATTCTGTAAACCCAAAAATAGTCTAAAATATTTTATTAATTTTTTTATTAATTCCAGATTCATGCTCACATGTCCATTATTTTTAAATTTATAACTGCTGTTCTCTTGAAAGATCAACATGTGCAGCCTGTAGACAGGTATCGCACACTATATCTAGAAATTGATCCATTTTTAGAAAAGTAAATGGGTAGAAAAACATAGGCCCAATGAAACACCATTGCACATTGGCTTGGATTTAAGACAAGCTGTAGGAGCACCATCTGTGCCAATTTTTTTTTTTTTAATTGTACTTCAGGTGAAGGTTTACAAAACAAATAGTTTCCATGAAACAGTAGTACACATATTGTTTTATGACATTGGTTAACAACCCCACAACATGTCAACCCTCTAACTTCTCAACCTTTTTTTTTGGTGAAAATACACATGGCCAAATATACCATTTCAAAAATTTCTACATGAACAGTTCAGTGACATTGAGTACGCTCTTCCAATTGTGCTGCCGTTCTCACTTAAGATAAAGGCTTACAGAACAGAATAGTTTCTCATTTAACAGTTACTATACACGTTGCCCTATGACAATGGATAACAATCTCACAACACATCAAGAATAACCTTACTCAACCTTGGGTTCCTATCACCAGCTTCCTTGTCCCCTTCTGCTTTCTGGCCCTTGTCACTGGACT